TTGTTAATTTAAAAGCAAGCATATGAAGGCTGGACTCAATGGCTCTGCCTGTAATTCCAGTACTTTGGGAGGCCGAGGTGAGTGGATTGCCTGAGCCTACAGGTTCGAGACTAGCCCAGGCAACTTAGCAAGACCTTGTCTCTAGAGTAAATTAAAAATAAATAAATAAATGAAAGCAAACATATGAAGCCAGGTGTGGTGGCTCATGCCTGTAATCCCAGCACTTTGGGAAGCCAAGACAGGACGATCACTTGAGCCCAGGAGTTTGAGAACAGTCTGAACAACATAGAGAGACTCTGTCTCTTTAAAAATAAAAAGATTAGCTAGATGTGGTGACATGCACCTGTAGTCCCAGCTAATTGGGAGGCTGAGGTGGGAGGATCACATGAACCCAGGAGATCAAGGCTCAGTGAGCTATGATGGAATGCAAAGTTCTTCCATAACTGTACTCCAGCCTGGGTGACAGCAAAACTCTGTCTCTAAAAAAAAAATTTTAAGTAAATTAAATTTAAAATTTAAAAAGCAAACATATGAGATGTTTGTTGTTAAGAGGTAAATTTGCATTGCTTTTAAGTTTATGTTGCCCTTTGAAATTTTGTGAAGGTTTTTTTATTCCATCCTCTCTAGCTAGAAAAGTATTTGGAAAAAAAATTGTTAGAGGGATTAGAATGAGACTATTACTAATTTTTATTATTATAGTATTTATAAAGTTTGAGCCCAGTTCTTTCTTCTTGGTCATAAAGATAAAGGAGATGGTTCTGTTTGGCCTGAAATGATGAGGTCCAGTTAGGATGGAAGCCTCCAGGTCATCATTGTCTGTGTCCCCCCTCCCCCATGTCTACTTGCTCTCCCACCATATTCTCATGGACTGATGGGCCCTGTCTCTGGTCATTTACTTCTTTTTTTTTAATCAGGCAGCCCCTGAATTAGAGTAGGTTCAGAGAGGGTCCTTGGTCATTTATTTTTGCTTTTTGTTGTTGTTGTCTGTGTTTTTTGGTTTTTGTTTTAGTGTCAGGATCTCACTTTGTCACCCAGGCTAGAGTGCAATGGCACAATCATGCCTCACCAAAACCTCCTCTCCCTAAATTCAGGATATCCTTCTGCCTCAGGCTGCAGCATGTACCATCATGCCCTGCTAATTTTTTTTATTTTTTATTTTTGTAGAGACAGGGTCTCGCTATGTTGCCCAGGCTAGTCTTGAACTCTTGGGCTCAAGCAGTCCTCCTTCCTCAGCCTCCCAAAGTGCTGGGATTACAGGTGTGAACCATCACACCTAGCCTGCTTTTGCTTTCTTTGTACGTTTGTTTTTATTAAAGAGTAACATACATACAGAAAGAGGTACAGGTCACAAGTGCATATCCATATAAATGTCCACCAAGTGAACATACTCGTGTAATCATTACCCAGCTCAGAAACAAACACCACTGGCACTCAGATGCCTCTCCCAGCCCCACTTCATTCCCCGCACACACACCTCCTCCTCAAGGGAGACACACTCCGGGATCCTAAGGTCATACCCTTGCTTTGTCTATTTTTGGACTTCATTTAAATTGAATCCTATTATAGGTATCTCTTTAGTGTCTGATGTCTTTAAGTCCGCCTCGTGTTGGTGAGATTTGTCTGTTTGTTGTGGAGCATTTATTTCCATTGCTGTGTTGTTTGTTTGTTTGTTTACTTATTTATTTTGAGTTTGAGTCCCACTCTGTCGTCCAGGCTGGAGTGCGGTGGCATGCTTACGGCCACCACAGCCACAACCTGCTAGGCTCAGGTGATTCTTCCACCTCAGCCTTCCAAGTAACTGGAAGTATAGACACGCCCCACTGTGTCCGGCTAATTTTTATTTATTGTAGAGATGAGATCTCACCAAGTTGCCCAGGCTGGTTCTGAACACGCGGGCTCAGGCAAACCTGTCGCCTCAGCTTCCCAAAGTGCTGGGATTTTAGGTGTGAGCCACTGCGCCCAGTTAATGTGTTATATTGACATTGTGAGAACACACCACAACTCATGCATGCTGCTGTTGATGAGGATTTGGATTGCTGTGGTTGGTATGTTAAGAATTCTTGTCCTTTGATGAATGTGTCTATGCATTTCTTCTGAGTTTCTAGGAACAAAATATACTTGTCATAGGGTGTCCATGTGTTCCACTTCACCAGAACCTCTGAACTCACTTCTCAAGGGTTAGAAACAAGTAGCTCTCCCGTGAGCAGGGTATAAGAGTTATAGTGGCTTCACATCCTTTCTGGCACTTGCTGTCATAGCCTTTTAAACATGGCCCTCATGTTTTAGTGCTCCCTTGTAGTGACTTTAATTCCTATTCTTCTGGTAACTGATGATGTGAGCACCAGTGGGTATTGGTCTTGCAATACCCTTTTTTGTGAAATACCTTTGCAAAGCTTTGCCTATTTTTCTATGGGCTTATCTGTCTTGCTGGTTTTTTAAAAGTTAGTTATATATCCTGTATAGGGGTCTATTGTTGGATATAATATATTCTAAATATATTCTACTTACTGTCTTTTGATGGATAGAAGTTCTCAGTTTTAAGGGGATTCAGTCATTTCCTCTTTGATCCCGTTAAAGAATCTTCTGCATCTTTCTTAAAGATGTTCTTCCATGTCATTGTCCAGAATTTTTAGACATACATTTAATTTAAGTATACACTCCAGCTGAAACTGATTTTTATGGAAGGTTTGAGGTGGGTTGTCAAGATTCATTTTCACTAATATATATTATTTCAGGACTTTGAATGTTAGAGTAGTTTCAGATTTACATATAAGTTGCAGAGATAGTGTGGAGAACTCCCATAAAGCCCTCAGTAAGTGTTCCCTGTTGTCATCATCTTACAGTACATCTGTTACAGCTAAAGAGTCAGTGTTCCTCCAGTACTGTGAATGTGACTTCCCATTCCTGGCCAGCAAGGTTCCTGCTGAGAACTCTGCTACCAGGATTCTTGAGCTCCCTGATATTTTATTTGCTTCTTTCCTCTTGCTCTTAGGGACCTTTCTTTATCCTTGACCTCTGAGAGTTTGATACATGCCTTGAGTTCGTCTTATTTGAGTTGAATCGGTTGAATGTTCTAGGGCCCTCTTGTACCTGGTTATTTATATCTTTCTCTAGGTTTGGAAAGTTCCCTGTTACTATTTCTTTGAATAAAACTTTCTACCCTGAACTCTCTTTCTTTGTCCTCCTCAAGGCCACTAACTCTTTTCTAGATCGTGTATGTGTGCATCATTCTTTTTCTTTTTTCTCCTGACTGTGCATTTTCACATAGACTGTCTTCAAGCTCACTAGGTCTTTCTTCTGCTTGGTCTGTTCTGCTCTTGAAAGACTCGTGCATTTTTCAGTTTTTCTGTTGAAATTTTCAGCTATAAAAATTCTTGATTTTTTTTAAAAGCAGGATTTATTGAGCGGACAGAAAAGCTCCCATAGTGGGAGGGAACCTGAGGGGCTTGCCCAGAAATTCTTGATTTTTTTTAAAAGCAGGATTTATTGAGCGGACAGAAAAGCTCCCACAGTGGGAGGGAACCTGAGGGGCTTGCCCAGAAATTCTTGATTTTAAAAACTATTTCAGTCTCTGTTAAATTTCTGATAGAATTCTGAATTCTTCTATGTTGTCATGAAATTTGTTGAGCCTCCTCAAGATAGCTGTTTGGGACTCTCCATCTGGAAGGTCCTTATCTCTGCCCCTTCAGGCTTGGTCCCTGGTACCCTATTTGGTCATGTAGAGATCATGCTTCCCTGGGTGCTCTTGATGCTTGAGGATGTTCAGCAATGTCTGAGCATTGAAGAGCTAGGGATTTGTTCCAGTCTTTGTGGTCTGGACTTGTTTGTACCCATCCTCCTGAAGGATTTTCCCTTATTAAAGGGGATTGATTGTTGTGGTCTGAGCCACATCAGCACTGGGGAGGGGGTGCCCCGTGCCCAGATGCGACTCTTGCCGACTGCCTGAGGCTCTACCATGAGCCTGGGCAAGGTCAGAGATTTGTCTCTGGGTCCCCAGGCGTGGCGTCTCACTCTCTTCCCTCTCCCCATATTGTGAAGGGCTGCCTGGAGTTGGCGAGGGGTGACTTGCACTCCCACGGCCATGTCACCGGCACTGCCCCATGTGGTACCTGAAGCCAGAACAGCACTGGCCCTGCCCAAGGCCGTGGTGACCACAGCTGCACCCATGTCTACCCAAGGCCCAGGGCTCATGGTCAGTAGATGATGGATCCCACAGGACTGAGTCCTTCCCTTTGGGTACTAGCAGCCATCTGGCCTGGGTGGGTGTGGCAACACTGTCCAGGAGCAGAGGCCTGGCATGAGGGCTTCGGAATTCTGTCATGTTCTGTGCTTTTGAGGCTGAGCTGGTCAGCTCACAAGAGAAAGCCCCCAGGCGCTCCCTCTCCATCCCCCAGCTATACAGCTGGCGTGATATAATGCAGGCAGTCCCTGGCCGCCCTTGCTGATGTGGCACTGGCTCCGAGCCTGGCAGCTCCTGGGCCAGCCCAAGGCCTGCATCACCACCAGGACTCAGTTCCTCCCGCTGGTGCTGAGGATTGTCCAGCCCAGGGCTGATCTGGTTGCTGCGTAGGTACTAGCAGACTCTGCCCTGTGCCAGGTTCCCCTGTGACAGACCAGTGCTAAGTGCCATTGCCAAGTCCACACCTGCTTCCCCTCCAAAGTATACAGATTCCCTCTCACAAGGGACTGATGAGGGATGGGGAGTATAGACCTTCAAAGCTGCCCTTTCCACCCTTGGGTACCTCTTTCCTCAATAGGACATTGAAACTGAATGTGTGACTGTTCATCTGATTCCTTGTTCCAGTATTTGCCCCAGTGGCCCCCATCACTCAGGGAGCAGATGTTTGAATTGTAGTAGGAAGCCAAGAAGGCTAGTCCCAACCCCATTAGGGGTGTGTGAACCATTTGGTACTGTGTAACCCGGCCTCACTCGCATCCTGGACAGCACTTCCATGGGATCTGGGCTGGGATGTACATGTGCATTTGTCCTGCCCCCTCAGCACTCTGAGCTCCCGACACTCTGCCAGTCCTGTGGTTTTCACCAGCGCCCGAAGTTCACCCAAAGAGGAGCTGCACCCGGCCGCCTCCTCCCAGCTCGCCCCAGCCTTCTCCTCCTCCTCCTCCTCCTCTTCTGGCCCCAGGAGCTTCTACCCACGCCAGGGTGCGACTAGCAAATACCTGATTGGATGGAAGAAACCTGAAGGAACCATCAACTCTGTGGGGTTTATGGACACGAGAAAGTAAGAGTCTATGTGCTTCTCTTGCTAGGTGTACACTTTTAAGATGGCAGAGCAGAAGAGGCTGAGGCGTTTCTTCCCAAGAGGGGCCAGGTTCAGATGAGAAGGTTGGCTTGGCAGTGTGATTTTTTTCCTGAGTAAAATGTTCTCAGATTATTTCTCCACTTCATTCCTGCAATAAGATGTATTGCAAAACATTGGGGTTTGAGGATCTTAGATTTAGAGAAGGGTGTGTTTGAAGGACACACTTCAATGAACCCTCTGGTGCCAAGTCCACACTGGTCCCTTTGGTTATGTTAATTACAGCCCTCCTGTGAATTATGGCCTAAGCCCGTATGCATCAGAGGGAACTTCAGAGAGTGAGTACCCCCAAAAGGAGGACTTTTCAACAAAGTAGTACAGGAAAAATGTTACAGCCAAATATAATGATTGGTTCAATTATATTTTTTTGTTTGTGCAAAGGTTGCCTTCAGATTTATATCCTGTGGTCTCTCAGTAAGTCTGTTGCTAATTTTGGCTTATCAGAACAAATCGTTTTCTGTGAAAGAGTGACTTACTCATCAGATTTGATTGTGTGTTTCAAACTGGGTTTGCTTCCATAAAAAGTTTACAGGAGTGGATTCTGATCCCTTGAGCAGAAGGAGCTCTCTGCCCTCCTTCAGTGTCTGCCCCTTGCCTCTGACCTAAGAGCCCCAACTCAGTCGTGCTCATGTGGCTTCTGCCATTTCTTCCCTTTTTCAAGGCGTCATCAAAGTGATGGCAATGAGATGGCCCACACCAGGCTGCGGGCCTCCACCAGGGACCTCCGGGCGTCCCCCAAGCCAGCCTCCAAGTCTACCATCGAGGAGGATCTGAAGAAACTGATTGATCTCGAAAGCCCAACTCCCGAATCACAGAAGAACTTTAAGGTACGAGACAGACTGGGGTAGACCACAGAGAGCCAGCAAATGTGGCCATTTCCATGGTTACAAGTCCAGGAAGTGCTGCTGCTCTTCCTGAGTGTGCCCTGCAGTCATGTGATCTGCCCAGCAGTGAACCCACAGGGATTGAGGGAACTGTCCCTGGGAGCATGTGGTGGTGTTGTAGCTTTTGTTCACCTGACACTCCCCGACTCCTGTTCCGTCCTTGATGTATCCTACCACAGGGCTGATTCCTTGGGCATCATCCACATGATAGGGCGTCTCAGAACTCTGGGAGACATGGGAACTCCCGTCAGCTAGAGAACTTTCCAGAAAGGCTTCTGTGTCTTCTGCCCAGAGTTGCTCCTCACAGGGGTCCCCAGCTCTCTCCCTTCAGCCCTGCTCCTCCTCCCTGACCTGGCCACAGACCTCCTAGCCATGCCCAGTGTGCTGTTTACCCAGAGCACTGCCTCACAGACTCCTGCTCTTACTGCCCCCAAATGGAAGCACATCTGCCCCTGCAAGCCGCCACACCATGTCCACACATGGCTTCAGAACCTCCCAGGCTCTCCTCACGCCATAAAGCCTTCCCTGTTTCCTCTTAGAATCCCAGGCTGTAAATCCTTCTCTAAAACCTCACCTCCCACCTCATGAGCCCTGAACTCATGTCCAGCACATGTGTGTGTGCCAGTGTCCATGGAATAGTTTAGTCTGCCAGCCTTAGCCCAGAGGACCTTGGAACCTCATGCAAAGCTCTACAGGGCATGGGCCTCACTTGAGCCAGGCCTGATAGTGTGCCTCTGAGGACATGGGTTTCTGTCTGAGGCATCCTGGCAGTCTTAGAGGCCTTGACAGCAGGTCTGTGATCACCTCATGGAGGTCTTAGAGCCCAGTTCCAGGTCTTGGTTTCTGTTTCCAGAAGGAACCACTGCAGTGGTCCTGTAGGAAGTAGGAACCATCTCTGCTATGACCGTATCACAGCGTGGCCTCTGCAGAGGGCGCCCTGTGGTGGAGGCATCTGGAGAAAAGGCAGGGGTGGGTAGGCTGGTGCTCTCACTCCACCATCCCTCGCATTGGGAAGATTTGGTGTTAGTGTGTCTGGCCACGTCCTATGTGTCTCCTGAGAGTCAGCCTCTGGTGGCTGAGGCCACTGTGTCAGCGAGGTCAGCTGGCCCTTGAGGCCTTGGGATGACAGGACCGGCTCTCCTGGGTAACATGTGCCACCCATGAGCTTTTGTCAGTGCAGACAATGGACACTCTTGGGCCTGATTCTGGCAGAGAGCCTCAGAAGCAGTGGTGGAGCCGGGACCTCTGGGAAGCCTCCCTGGTGGCCAAGGTGGGTCACCTGGATTCCCTGAGAGCAGCGTGCCACTGGCACGTGACCAGACAGTAGCGCCATGCTCTCTTGGAGAAGTACACAGGCAGGGCCTCCTCAGGGCCCAATGTGTAACAGGTGACACATGTCGCTGATGGGTAGGGAGAGGACAAAAGACTGATACAGAGCAAGAGACCTCCTCCAGGCCCTGTTCTGACGGTGAGATTAGGACCAGAGTCAGTTGGTGGTACCCACACAGTCCTAAAGCTCAAAACCCCTTCCCTTAATGAAATCACAGAGGGCCAGTCTATGTAACAGAGAAGGCAGATTCTCTGAGGGCAGGTTGAGCAGGCTTGAGCTCCTACCTGAACCTCTCTCCCCAGCAGTGGAGCCATCCGGAACCCTTGGGACACAGTTTAGAACCACCTTGCCTTCCAGAGCATTGTCTGAAATCCCTTCCAGGCAACCCCAGGCAGAACCTGCAGGGCAGGCAGGGGCTGCTCTCAGAAAGACAGGTGTGCCCATCTTAAGAGAGGGGTTGAGAGACAGGCAAGGCGCCACCCCCACATCCCAGGCAGATTGAGGCCCTGCTGTTTTTTGTGGGCAGGAAGCACCTTGCCTGCATCGCACGCTGCCTCCCTTTCATGCAGGAGGTTGTGACTTTGCTCCAGGATCCCTCCGTGGTCTACTGGCTGCTTCAGAGTCTTTCAGTGTTAACCCAAGAGGCTGGAACTTAGTGGGGAGAATTTACCACCTGTGAAGGCATTGATGGAGACTTGCTGGGGAAGGAAACCTCTTTGCTGGACCCAGAAATTCTGGGAGACATATAATAGAGACCTCAGAGGCTGAAGCTAAATTCCAGCCAGATAGGAGGCTCGTGGGATGATCCTGGAATCCTGTGGTAGAGTAAAGTGGCGTGGCATCTTTTTAACACATCTGATGAGCAAGCTGGTCCACTGATGCCACTCATCTCCAGAAGACAGGGATGGTGTCTCCTGTTCCCACATTCTCCCATACAAGTGCAGGATGCAAGGGCTGGCAGGAGCTGTGACTCAGCCACCCCACCCTCCCCAACCTTGGTCTCAGGATGGGGTCCAGAACACTGAGCCTGTTTGTCGCCCTGTTTTCCAGTTTCACGCGCTGTCCTCCCCACAGTCTCCCTTCCCTGCCACGCCCACCTCCCGCCGGGGCCTGCACCGCACGCTGTCAGATGAGAGCATCTACAGTAGCCAGCGGGAGCACTTCTTTCCCTCACGGACGTCACTCCTGGACCAAGCACTGCCCAATGACGTGCTCTTCAGCAGCACCTACCCCTCGCTTCCCAAGTCCCTGCCTCTGCGAAGGCCATCCTACACCCTGGGGATGAAGTCGCTGCATGGTGAGTGCGCTAGACCCTGCAGTCCGGAGACCTTGGTGGTAACCCAGACCACAAGCTGCCTGCCACACTTGCTAAACACAGGCTCCCAGGCTCTGGCCTAGACTGTGGAGTGCAGGTCTCCCGTGAATAGTCTGGGTGGGTGTATTCGTGTTAACCGTCCACAGCAGCAGAACCGAGCACACCCAGTTGTCATGAGTCACAGTTCCTCAGAGACTAATTCCCACTGGCCCTGCCAGCACCGGGAGGACTCAGCCCCTTATGGCCTCATGTTTCCCAGGCCATGAGGATGCTGCTGGCCTGCATATCATTCGTTCAGAGCCAGGCAGGTGTCGTTGAGGCCAGGGGCCTCTGTGCCTGTGTTCTGCTCATGGTGGCTCTGTTTACTCCGAACCCAACAGCTCCCAGCTTCTCTAAGGGCTGCGTCAGGCTTGGGGTCAGGCCTAGCCCATTCCTTGTTCCTCTCCTTCCTGGGAGCCATGTTTGCATTGACACGCAGCTGGGCCCCACCACATTCGGCTGCCCTTTCACAGTTGTCCATCTTCCATGTTTCTCTTCCCTCTGCCTCTGTCTGGAGCGATATTTTCTTTAAACTCCCACTTGCCCCGAAGCCCCTCCTGTCTCCAACCCACTTGGGCCCATCCTTCTCTCCCCCAGGAGGGGATGGGAGCTCATGTGGGCCCCAGTGCTATGGGGAAGGAAGCGGGACACTGGCACATCCCAAGCCCCTCGTCACCTCCTGCCCCCGAACACAGTGGCGACCTCATGTCTTCATGGGCTGTGGTGCAGCCCTGTCCTGCAGGGTGACTCCACTGGAGTGTGTCTCCAGGACAGGAAACATGCACTCACAGTGCAGATTCATGGGAGCCAAGAGGTCACATCTGTAGAATCTGTCGACTCCATCTCCCGTGATCTTGCTGACATAGGCTCAGTAGTGACTGGCCTCCTGCTCCAGCCCAACCCATGTGATCACCACAGATAGATACTGTACCCTCATGCACAGGAATTCCTGGGGCCTTCAGACCCCAAGCTGTCCTCCCCACAGTCTCCCTTCCCCTCCAGGGCCATCCTCCTGTGTCCTTCCATGGGGTCACATACTCTGCCTTGTCTCTACCTGGCATCTGCCTGTGGAGTATTTACATATCATGAGCAGTGTTGTCCTGGCCACCGCTGACCACCTTTGCTATTGTCTGCCAGCATGGTCTTGAGCAGTGACACAAGTAGCCCTTGCCCACGCCTACTGCCGGGGCTCAGCCAAGGGGTGTCATTGTGATATCAGGTGGTTGTTACAGTAGTTTCATATTTGCATCTGCCAGATGGCCCCCTTGGACATTGGCTACTGGGCAGTAGACATGAGGCTACTGCCCAGGGCATCAAGTGGCTGCAATCCAAAACCAGACCAGAGTCACTCCTGGGGAAGGAGATGGATGAGGACCAGTCGAGGGTCCCCTCCTGTGTCAGTGCTGTGTGGGAACCTGCTGTGCCCCTTAGTCCACCGTGGACACAGTCACCCACAGAAACCAGTGGGCAACCTCGGGATACAGGAGTCCACGGAGGAGGCCAGATCCTGCTCCATTACTAACCAGAATGGACTCAGGTCCCTCTTATAGGTGTGGACTTCCCTGGTGTGGTTCCCAGGTCCAACTTCGTGTGGGCGTGGCTTCCTCTTCCTAGCCAGTCCTTAGCATATGGGAATGTGGGCACTCAAGTGCCCTGGGCTCCTGTGGACAGACCTGCTGCTCAGTGCAGGATGAACTCTCCATGATTCACTTCTGCAAGGGAGGTGGTGGGCAGCATTAACAGTGAAGGTGGCCTGGGGAGGCCAGATCCCTAATCAGGTCAGCTGTGGAGTGGCCACTGGAGGCCACCATGCTGGACATCACAACACTGGTGCAAAGCACAAGCCTGCTGTGGCCACAGGACTGGGTAGGTCTTGAGTGTCCTTCTGGGGACATGAGGCGTGTCTGATTCCCCCACCCTGTCCCACCCACAGGAGAGTTCTCAGCCTCAGACAGTTCCCTGCCTGACATCCAGGAGACACACAGGACACCCATACCTGACCCTGGCCTCATGCCCCTGCCCGATGCCGCTGCTGACTTGGATTGGTCCAACCTGGTAGATGCTGCCAAAGCCTATGAGGGTGAGTGCACACAGGATGCGGGCCCTGCGCACACACTTCACCAGCATGCCAGGCCAGTTGTACCAGCAGGGATGGAGTATTCCTGAGGGAGCATTCAGACCTGGCTAGACACTTAGACCTTGTGTGTTAATCAGGTGCAGCTTGGTGTCTTCTTCCTTAGGGGTTTCTGACTCAGATCCTCACCTCCACGGAATAGGGATTCCTGCCAGAATTTTCACATGCTCAGAGGACTTCCCAACACGATCCTCACCTCCTCAGAGGGGTTCCCAACACATCCACACCTCATCTCTTCAGAGGGCTTCCTGACACCAGTCCTCTCCTCCTCAAAGGGGTTCCTGACACAAATCCTCTCCTCCTCAGAGGGGTTCCAGAAACGATCCTCTCCTCAGACAGGTTTCCACACAATCCTCAGAGGGGTTCCTGACATGATCCTCACCTTCTCAGAGGGGTTTCAGATACCATCTACACCTCCTCAGAAGGGGTTCTCAACATGATTCTTACCTCCTCAGAGGGGTTCCAGACACGATTCTCTTCTCCTCAGGGGTTTCTGATATGATCCTTGCCTCCCCAAAGGGGTTCCAACACAATTTTCTCCTCATCAGAATGGTTCCTGACATGATTCTCTCCTCCTCAGAGGGGTTCCTGACATAAATCCTCACCTGCTCCACATGTGGGAGGGCAGGGGGTAGAGGAATCCCTGCAAGAGCACATGTCCAGAGATGGTTTTTCATCATTTTAAGGGTGTTGCTGCTAAATGATATGTCAGTTTGCATGTTCCCTTTGGCCATGCCCCATCCCAAAGGTATTGGAATCTTCCTCCTCCTTCCTGATCATCTTTGTGAACAGCAGCACATCTCTGTGTTACCTGTGCCAACCCTCTGGTTAAGGGCTCATGTTAGGCCAGTGATTCTTCAATGCAGGTCTTTGATGGGGTTCTTTTTCTTCTGAATCAAAACACTAAAGAAATGTATGTGTTGATGTAAGGTGGTCAGTTGTCCTTTTTAAGGTAAAGATTGACTTTTTTCTAAGATTCTATAATTTTCTATTTTTTTCTATTATTCTATAATTTTTAGCATTTGAATGTTCTTTATAAAATTATGATAGCAGGGCCAGGCATGGCCTGTAATCCCAATTCCAGCACTTTGTGAGGCTGAGGTAGGAGGATCACTTGAGCCCAGGAGCTCGAGATCAGCCTGGGCAACATAACGAGACCTCATTGCTACAAAAAAATTTTAAAAATTAGCCAGATGTGGTTGTGCATACCTCCATTCCCAGCATTTGGGAGGCTGAGGTGGAAGGATCGCCCAAACCCAGGAGTTAGAGGCTGTGATGAGCCATAATTGTGCCACGGCACTCCAGTCTGGGTGACAGAGTGAGACCCCAACTCAAAAAAGAAAATTGTGATAGCAGGTTTTTTGTTTGTTTTTATTGCTCCTGTCTGGGAGAATTGAAAGATTCTATTCAGTCAAGTTGTTTCAGGAGCATATTTGCTAGGCCACAGAATTCAGGAGTCAAGCACCAGCAGTTGTCAGCAGCCCATCCCTCTTGCCTCTTCATGTTTATTTAGCCTATGGAAATGTCCAGCAATAATTATATTTTCCATTTACTGGTTAATCTCCCACACATGAAATGGTAAACATTTTAATTTTTTAATGGGAGATGTTTTAAAACGTGATTTTGTTTTCTTGGCTTTAATTTTAAGTTGGTACATTTTGAAGCACAGGTGGTGTGGATCTGGGTTAAAGCCCACCAGAGTGGCCAGGCATCTTGTGAAAAACATACTTCAAGAGGCTTCAAGAAGCGTAATATTAGCTCTCCAATACATTGAGATTTGTTGCTGAGTGGAACGCCTTGGTCTGGAAGTTTGACCCAAGACCTGTGTCTGGGAAAACTTTTAACAGAATGTGACTCTGATGAGCAGGGGGGAGGGAAACCAAAGATTGATTTGCAACTGCTTCTTTTTTTGAGAAGGGATCTCGCTTTGTCTCTCAAGCTGGAGTGCAGTGGCATGCTCATGGCCAACACAGGCTCAACCTCCTGGGCTCAGACAGTCCTTCTGCCTCAGCCTCCCAAGTAGCTGGGACTGCAGGCATGCACCACCATGCCTGGTCTCATAATGTTGCCCAAGCTGGTCTTGAATTCCTAAGCTCAAGTAATCATCCTGACTCAGCCTCCCAAAGTGCTGGGATGGCAGGTGTGAGCCACTGTGCCCAGCTGCAACTGCTTTCTGAAAGGAAGTGACAGTGCCACAACTCTCTTAAGCTCAAGCGTTAGCACATGTCTCTGTGCATGTGGGGAGTGGGGCCCTGCACGTGGAGTGGACATACCTGTCGACTCTCATAGATAGGGTCCTACATTGTGGTTCTGACACACCAAATGTTTCTTCTTTGCAGTCCAGAGAGCCTCATTTTTTGCTGCTAGTGATGAAAACCATCGACCCCTGAGTGCCGCATCTAACGGTGATCAGCTTGAGGATCTGCCTCTGGCCCAGATGAAACCGTACAGCAGGTAGATCACCCAGGCACAGGCACCACTCCACAACTGTGTCCCCGCAGTGATGCAAGGGTGGGGGTTGGGAGATGGGAGCCTCATGGCTTAGCAGGGTCGAGACCCTTCACATTCCAACTGGGCTACTGGCAGGGGGACACCAGGCACAAAACCCCTTGGACCTCTTGGATACAGTGAGAGAAGCCACTTGCCTGTACACCCGCGTCTGGGCATAGGCCCCTCCCATGTCGCTGGGTGCATGCTTGTTCTGTGCCTGCTGGCTCATAGGTCTTCTTGGCATGCTACCTCTGACTTGCTGAAGGCTGGGCCCCTGGGGCAATGACAGGGGCTCACATAAGGTGGCTAAGCAGTAGCAAAGGCCCAGGGGGGTTTTGAGGGAAGAGCACAGACCTGTGACTTCCTTCCAGCTGTGTGGGCCCGCTTTCTTGCCCTCCCCTAGTTCCTGTGGGGGCTTTTTTGGATTGACTAAGTGTGGGTCTTGGGCATAAGTGTGGGTTTTGGGCATCTCAGCTGTGGGCTGCAGGCTGTGGAATAAGCATGCCTTGATGCAGAGCAGTTCATTTGAAACGTCTTCCATAAAACCTTTTGAGGATGAATAAGAACCCAGTGTCTGTAAGACTTGGACAGAAACGGGCCATCATGGGAAGGCATGACTGGGAGTGCCCAGCATGCTTGTGGGCCTTGTGGTCAAGGACATCTCAGAGGCGGTGCAGGAGTCACAGGTGGTTTCAGGTACATGAGTCGATGCCACACCCGCCCTCAGTCTCATCCTTGGGAGGCCGGGCTTGGCAGAGCTGCATCACCTCTTCCCCTGAGAACTTGAGAGAAAAACCCGGAATCTGAGAAAGACTCAAGGGGTGCCTGCCCGAGGGAGCCAGATGCTTCCTGAAAAGGGAGGTCGGGGCCGCCCAGGAGGCTGGGCATGGACCGAGCACTTGCACCGAGTCACACATGTCTAGGTGTTGTCACTGCACTCACACACACAGAATGCATTCAAAGGACCTGAAGGAGGCAAGACAGGTCCTGGGAGTGGCTTCAGGCTTCAAGCACTGTGATGGCCTTGCACAGGGCCCCACCGCCCCGTCCCCAACCTCAGTGTGTCTTGCCGCCCCGGCTACCCATCTGCAGCCTTCAGCCTATCCACCATCTGCCCTCCATGTCCTATATCATGCCACTGTGGACAATAGCTGACCCCTTCTCTCTCAAGTTCATTCCTTGTCAGCTCCTGGCAGGCTGTCCCATTGCAGGGGTCTGGAAGTCAGCCCATGGGCCTCGGCCTCCTTTCCCACTCACCCCCTCCCCCCATCCATGGCGGCTTTACCTTCTGGGCCCGTTATAGATGGCAAATTAGCAACAGACACCAACACCATCCGTTTGATGTCAGGAATCCCACTTTGAACTTTGGTTTTTAAAGTAAATACTTTGTTATTCCATGGTCAGAACATTTAGTCATGCAGCTCTTTCCTCTGGCCCTGGAAAGAGGCAGCTTATTTTTTCATGGAGGGTTCTAGATTCTCTGAGCTGTGCTTATGAGGGCGCATGGCTTGGCTAGCCTCACTCAGGATACTTTCGGCTGCTTGAGTTCAGGCAGAGGAGCCTGAGAAGAAGGATGCTCTGTCCCTCAGCCGGAGCCTAGGGTGGTTGTGCCCATCTGGCTGACTGGCTACCACCTCCCATGACTGGTACCCCACAAGCATGGCCTTATGAACTCGAAACAGAGTGAGGACACATGGTATAGCAGGGTGGAGACCCTTCACATTCCAGCTGGGCTACTGGCAGGGGAACACCAGGCACAGAGTCCTCAGACCTCTCGGGTGCGGTAAGAGAACCCACTTGCCTGAACACCTGAGTCTGGGCATAGGCCCCTCCCATGTCTCTGGGAAAAAGAGGGCTTGCTGATCATACTAACATAGGACTTGTGACACTAAGCTTTTGAAACAAGCAGCCTTGTTTTTTTAATATCTTAAGATATTTGGACTCATGTTTAAGATGCAGGCATGATAACTTGGCTGCAGTTGCCTGTGTTTTCTTGGGAACCTGAGACCTGTCCGATCCTGGCCCTGGTTGCCCCGAGGCAGACCCTGTACCCTCAGTCTACCCCATCCCCACACAGAGTTGCTCTCCTCCTGTGATGCCCTCTCTAAACAGTCCCAAAGTCTTCCCAGGAATTGTTTTCCTGTGTGACAGTGGTTTCTGACAGAAGATGCCTCTTGTGCTGCCAAAGAGACTGTTTCGTTGTTGTCTTGTATTATTGTGAATTGTTTTCCTGTGTGACAGTGGTTTCTGACAGAAGATGCCTCTTGTGCTGCCAAAGAGACTGTTTCGTTGTTGTCTTGTATTATTGTGAAGATGCAGCCTCTTTGACCAAGGAAAGAAGCAACTGGCTGGCTGTGCTTCCAGCCTGTGTTGCCTTTTGTTAAGATTACCTTTTTTTCTTTTCTTTCCTTTTTTTTTTTTTTTTTTTTTTTTAAGTAAAATTGCACTTTGGGTCACCATACTGAGTAATTTGGCATTGAAAACCATTTTGCAAATCCAGCCTCCTCGGGTCAGATGAAGCAAGCCCAGCCAGGAGGCTCCACCCACCTGACCCTGTCTCTTGTCCCAGCAGCAAGGACTCGTCGCCCACGCTGGCGTCCAAGGTGGACCAACTGGAAGGCATGCTGAAGATGCTGCGGGAGGACCTCAAAAAGGTAATTCCCTGCCAGTGGGCACCCCGGGCAACACCAGCGGAACAGGGTCATGTGGCCCTGGGCCTGCATGTTTCCCGTGCCGCAGGTGTCATGGCCAGATAGCCAGAAAAAACAAAACTGACACAGCTCTTAGGGTGGAGAAAGAGCTCAACATCACAAAGCAACCGAGCGAGGGTAGGGAACTCACTCAAACCCGTCTCCCCAAGGTCAGAGGCTGTGAGTTAAGGGAGCTGGCGGCAGAAGGACAGAACTGGTGATGTTGCAGGGAAGCTGTCTTCCCGTCCTGGAGCTGGTTTCTGAGGGATGGCATCATGCATGTTCAAGCCCTTTCTGGGTGCTCTACCTGAAGCTCAAGGCAGTCATCATCAGCAAAGGCTCTAAGATGCACATGGTGTGTGTCCCATTAGGCCGGTTCTGGGCGTGGCTGTGGAAGTCCTGCTCCCTGGGCCGCTGCTGGGTTGTGCAGCAGGATTTGGTGGAGACTAGAAAGGCTGAGGGTGGAAGGGACCCGCTGCTGCTGCTCCTGAGAGGATGAGCGGGGCCTCTCACCTCTCCTGCTTGCCTCCCCAGGAGAAGGAGGACAAGGCCCACCTGCAGGCTGAAGTTCAGCACCTGCGGGAGCACAACCTGCGGCTGCAGGAGGAGTCGCAGAATGCCTCTGACAAGCTGAAGAAGTTCACCGAGTGGGTCTTCAACACCATTGACATGAGCTAGGCAACAGTGAGGCCCGTCCTGCCCAGAAGCTTCCTCCTCGGCCCTCCTGGGGGCCAGCACACTGCACATCAACAGTCAGTCTCTCTCTGCCTTTTGTAGAAAAGAATAACAAAAAGTACATAAAAATTTTAAAAGTAAAATAAAAGTTTAACTGCTAAAACGTGAATGTCTTTATTTTTTTGCACACTAGCTTTAACTGTTGCATATTGAAGACACCAGGCCTGGCTGGGTGTCGCCCACCTGCCCCTACCACCCCCAGCAGCTTTCTTATCTTTCAGGTAACCCAGGCATCTCTTGTTCCCCCAGCAAATGCTGTCACTTCTGGGAAAGTCGAGCTTTTGACCTTGTTTCCTTGGGGAGTGTAGAGGCTGCCTCCTTGCCTTCATCCCTAAATACCACAGGGGGAACACTTTGAGCTGGGGCATTCTGAACCATCTTCCCAGGGTCAGCAGGTTGATCATGTGACAGCAGGTCAGCGAACAAGGAGAGGCTCTAAAGTTGCCCTAGGCCACAGGCCCCCGCTGTGAGGTCACTTCCTGCCACTCCCTTCCCAGAAAGTGACCCAGGTGTGCTGCTCAGAGCCAGGGTTTTTTTTTGTTTGACAGGAGGGAGCCCCACTCAGATGGAATCAGCCTCCCCCAAGCTTCTTGCCTCCACCCGAGTTGGCTACAGAACTCCCTCAAACTAAAACTCTGTATGCACTCTGCATTTTAGTCAAAAGTACCTATAATTTTTGTTTAAGATGTTTAAAGATAAAAATGTGGCAAAATTGGTTTTCTTGACTTGCTCAAAATGACCATATCAATAAATGAGTAAGTTTCTCTCCAGAGCAAGACTCCACCAGTGTTTGTAACTGGAAAAGCTGATAGTGACTGTCTCGTTGTGAATGTTAATCTTACTTGCTGGAGCAATAACTGTGGTCAAAGAATGGGCTATGACACCTGCATGTCCCCATGTGAAATGTAAGCGTGGCATTTTCTGCACCTTTGGGTAGCCAGAGGACCCTGTTGCAGAAATCACTGATGTGGTTTCCTGTCTAATGAAGCAGGCAGCTCAGGCCATCCAAGGCCCTGACTACTGTAGAGACAGACACAGAGTGACCTGCATGACTAACCCAAGGAGGTCCCTCCTGTCTTGCCTTCACAACTGTCACTAAACTGACCTCTCTTCCCTTCAGTGGCAACTCTGGTCCAAGGGAACATTCTGCAACCTGGCAGCCCACACTGGGAAGTGCCCACCCCAGTGATCTCTTCCTTCATCTCCCAGCCCTGAAGGAAACGGTCAGGCTTGCCTCTCTCTCTCTACCCAACACCTACTGCCGGACTTTTATGCTCCAGTTTCATTCATGATTGTGATTTCTCCATGGGATTTTTTTTTTTTTCTGGTGACATTTCTGTCCTGGAAACACAAAGATTTCGGAGTGCTTTATAAAGACCCCAAGAGTCTGTCTCTCTCTCTCTGAGTTGTGTGAAGGAGATTATACACTGCCTGCTCTCTCTGTAAATGAGGAGCACTACTGACACCTGAGCATCTGGAGTCTTGCTTACCCTTCTGAGCTTACTTTTCATTTGGTTTTATGTTTTGTTGGGGGACTCGGGGAAAGCTATTTATTAGAGTTTTGCAACAGAGTTCTTCTTACTGGAAGCCTTTAAAGACTACTTGTAAAATTCAAACAATAAAATTCATTTTGAATGCTCTTTTAAAATGCCTTGGTATTACTGCTTGAGGTTTTTGTATCTAAAAGACTATCCAATCATTGGCTGACCATCCAAGCAGTCTGATTTTTTCATCAAGCACTGTTATTACTAAAGATGGTTCTTGAAAGTTGCCATCAATTTTGGAATGTTAATAAACGTTTCACTCTGTCCTCATGTCCCTAGCAATTCCTACTTTGCCTTCTCTGCTTTGGGTTCCAATTTGCAGAGTGCTTTGTGACTAATTCCTGTTTCATTGCCCACATGTAGGTTTTCGTGACCACACTGCCGGTCCCTGAAACCAGCACATTTTCGGACTGTCCACTGCATGCACCAACTCTCAATGTCAGATGCTGTGCTCAGGGAATGCAAATGTCTGTTCACATTAGACTGTGCAAAATATAATTAGAAAAGTTAATCCCCTGACAAAAAAGTCAGTGCATTCCAAAGTCAAACACAGCTGGGTTTTTAATCCATCGCCTCCCTGTTCCCCTCCAGTGGTGCAGCTAATTGAAGGCTGACAGTAGTCTCTTCTCTTTATCTGGTTCAACAACCCTACACATTCTAGAATTACAGGACTGGGATGAGCCTGGATGCCACAAAACACTCTGATTAGCACGCCAAAAATATCTGCTCAGACTGTGTTTCTCACGTGGTTTGGGGCGGTATGCCTAGTGTGTCTGTAGGCTTGGCACCAGGTTGGGGGTCTTGGGGAAGGTCTCCGTCCACAAGCCAGTAGGGGTCAAGGGGCTGTGTGCCAGGGCTAGTGCAGGTGACAGGGTTGGGTTTCTGGCTCCTCAGAGGGGGATGAAGGTGGCAGTCCAAGGGCAAAGGAGACGGCCCCAGCACACTGAGGCCACGCCTGAAGGTGGAGTGACGACCCGAGCTTGGGCTTTATCCCACTGCCCACTGTGCTGGTGGTGGGTGCTGCTTCCCCAGTGTGAACAAAATGGGTTCAAGTGCAGGATGGCACACCTGGGTCAGAAACACAGCCACTGACCGCACACTGCCAAGTGCGACTGTGTCATTTTAAAGGAATAGCAGTGCTGGATACCTCCTCCAGATAAGCATTTTGCCATGAATGACCCTGCCATAGGAATCGCTGACTTCACTGGGAAAGTCAGGACTCAAATCCCATTCATTACGTAGCCTGTGTGTCCTCGGGTAAATGACCTAATGTCTGAGCATTGACTCCTCATATGGGGAAATAGTAACAGCCTCATATATTAAGAATTAAATGGGAGGCCAGGTACAGTAGGTTCTGCCCGTGAGCCTAGCACTTTGGGAGGACAAGGCGGGAGGATTGCTTGGCCTAGGAGGTTAAGACCGGCCTGAGCAGCATGGCAAGAACGCATCACTACAAAAAATAAAGTCAGCTGGACATGGTGGCATGTGCCTACGGTCCCAGCACTTTGGGAGGCTGAGATGGGCCCCAAAGTGAAGATCGCTTGAGCCCAGGAGGTCAAGGTTGCGGTGAGCCGTGATCGTGCCACTGCATACCAGCCTGAGCGACAGAGAGTGACTTTGACTCAAAAAAATAAAGAAATGGGGCCAGATGTGAAAGACATTGACTGGCAAATGGTAGACATTCCCTAAACACTTCTATCCTCCATTCAACATGTTAATATGCATATGTTGTTCTTCCAGGACAGAGTCCTGATATCTGAGCAATGCATGGGACAGCAGGGTCAGGGCTCATACACTTGGATTCACATCGTCAGGTGCTGTTGACCCTTTGCTGTATGTTTGAGAACAGCGACTCCAACTTGACCTTGCCTCAGAATCACCTGTAGAGTTTGTCAAAACACAGGTCCCTGGGCTGCATCTCCAGATCTGTGGTTGAGACCGACAATTGAAGTTCTCTACCAACTCCCAGGCAATGCTTGGGAATCAGACCATCAGGAGAATGGGGTTTGACAGGCGGACAGCCACATCCCTCAGCACCAAAGGAGTGGGAAATGAGGTATGAGGCCCTTGTGGGTCAAGATACAGTCACTGAGGTACCAGGTCCTGGCCAGTCCAGATACCTGAACGTTAACTGAGGTATGAGGCCCTTACTGGTCCAGATACTTGAGTATTAACTGAAGTGCAAGGCCCTCGCCAGGCCCAGATGCCCGAGTGTTAACTGAGGTATGAAGCCCTTGCCACTCCAGATACCTGAGCATTAACTGAGGTGCAAGGCCCTTGCCAGGTCCAGGTGCTGCAGTGTTAACTGTGGCACAAGGCCCTTGCTTGTTCAGATGCCTGAGTGTTAACTGAGGTATGAGGCCCTTGCTGGCCACAGAGCATCTTTGGGGCCAAAACTGGAGCTAGAAAGTTCAGTTAGATTAAAGAGAACATCCCCTCTCCTCCTATGGAGGTGATCTGGGCCCCCTTTGTGTGAAGCTCCCTGCTCATGATGGCTTTCCACCCCTGAAATACTCAGATAGTCCTGGGATTCCATGACCACCGTTTTCTTATACAAGACTAGTGACCATGCGTGCAAGGGGTGCTGGGGGTGACAGTGTGGACAGCTGTGCTGCTGGAGGCAGGGCCTGGGCTGGTGCAGAGCCTGAGGACAGCACAGGGAAGGCTCCAGGCTGAGCAAGGTGTCAAGTCACCAACTTTCTGGGCAGCGGGGCCTGCCCTGCCCTCCAGGAACCTACTGTCCTCCAAGCCTCCAGAGCATACTGCAGCCTCTCTGCCCGCCGGGATGCCTCTCCTCAGTTCCTGTACTGAGCCATAGCCCCGTCTCCACAGCTGGGCAGAGGGACACAGGCCTGATCCCCGTGTCCTTCCCACAGCCACAGCCCGGAAGACCATCTCTCCTGAGGTCATGGCAGCTCAGGTTTCCTGGGACTGGCCCCTCCATTGCTCCCGTCCACAGCACCCCCACTCTCCTGGGTGTCAGCCTGCATCCCGACCCCACAGCAGTGGTCTCCCCTCTCCTGCCTCTGTGCCTGAGCCGTCACACTTGAGACTGAGGGGATGTGGCCCCTCCTCTCCTGCCACCTGACACCTTCCAGTTCCCCCTGCCTCCACCCCTCCCACCACTGATCCGAGGAGCGCGTCTCCTGAGCCTCCCCACCCCTGGGGCACAGCCCACCTGTACCACAGCCCGCCTTGCTCACCACATGTCCCCCCACTGCCCAAAGTGACCCACCCACAGTATGCCTGGCCCTGACTGTTAACAGGTATGAAGCTGTCCCCACAGGGTCCCATCCCATGCTCTGCCTGTGGCCATGCTGCGCTCTTCAGTGGCTGACCTCCGCCCATCTTGAGATCTTGCTGGGACACCTCAGGGTCTCTAAGAGTCACCCCCTCCTGTGCAAGGCTGGATGCAGAGTGCAAGCATCACAGGACGGTGTCCATCTTCAGCTCTTCTGCCGAACTACCCCATGGGTGGAGGGCGTGGGTTCCCGAGTTTGGCACCAATGCCCTACCCCACGGTGGGATGCAGGGCTCCATCGGGCCCTCTCCCTCTCCTGAGAACCCCAGGTTACCGTGTGTGTAGTCTCCTGCCCCGTGGGTCGGCCTGTGAGTTGGTGTCCTCTGGGTCCCATCGCCAAACTGAGGATACCATTTCCCTCCCCGGACCATCACCCCCTGCCCACCCTCACCTGCCCAGTGTCCTGGAGTGAAATACACTTCAGGGAGTTGTATTTAAACTCAAATTGCAGATAACAAGTCACTAGTAAAGTTGCCTGAAGGTGGTCCCGTGGTCACAGTCTTGGTGGCACAGATGGATTTGTAACTGACCCAGTATTTTTTCTATTAATAAACAGCTCACAGATATTCAAAAATAGTTTCTTCTCCTAAGAAGCTTAGACATTGTTCTGTAACCTTAAGACAAGGAATGTGCTCATCAAATTCTTTTTTTTTTTCAGTTGGTACAAAGGCAAACAGCCCAATGCAGGAACGTTCCTGGTAACACATGCGTTGTCCCTAGGCTTGATGCAGAAGGTTGGCCACTGAAGGAACACGCCTCCTCCAGACAAGCCGAACCTGGTGTGGGTGGGATGGGAGGGGGATGCCGAGTCACTGCCCACTGTCCTTAAGTAATTTAACAAACTGAAGTAGGAAAGAGAAACCAGACTTGATCTCTGTGGCCAGAGAGGCAAATCACACCTGTGAATGGTGAGTTCTGGGGAGCAGATTCTGTCTAAGGCAGTGTTGACTCAGTGGTCTCCCCAGCTTGAAGTCAAGATCCAACCCAGAAGCGGCCTTGCAAAGATGCCATCCTTTCACCATCTAGTGAACTCTCACTCTTTATTTTAATATTTTTGTAGAGACAGGTTCTCACTATGTTGCCCAGGCTGGTCTCAGCCTCCCAAGTAGCTGTGACTACAGGCACGCACCACCGCACAGGGCTAAGATTTTCTTTTTTTGGTTTTTAGTAGAAATGGGATCTCACTTTGTTGCCCAGCATGGTCTAGAACTTCTGGTCTCAAGCAATCATACTGCCTCAGCTTCCCACGTAGCTGGGGTTACAGATGCCACCACCATGGCAGGCTAGTTTGTTAGTTTGTTTTTAGTAGAGATGAGGTCTTACTATGTTGCCTAGGCTAATCTTGAACTCATGGCCTCAAGCAATACTCCCACCTTGGCCTCCCAAAGCACTGGGATTAGTTTTGGGCCTGGCCAAGACTCTTGCTGTCTTTAAAATAACTCGGGGTCATGAACCTCAGATTGAAGAGGGAAGGGACCTTAGACCATGCAGCCTTCTACCAACCCAGGATTCCTTTTTCTTCATGGCCCTGCCATGTGTTCACCAACTGTGCTTGGGCACACCCGGGGTGGGGCACTCCTGTCTTGTTCTTCACCTGCTCTTTTTTAGTCTTTCCTTTATTTTCAGGGAAAATCCATTTCCCTTTAGTTTTATGATGATTTCCCAACCTATCCCTGCAAATTATGCAAACATAAATGTCCTATCCCAGGCAAAGGCCACGAACATGCTGGATAATGCTGGGGCTTTCCAGGATGAAAATTCCCAGCCTGGAGCCATTAATCCTGAATCCTCTTCTGTGTCCTCGCCTGTTGTGGCTTACCACCCCTCTCCCACCATACGATCATATATGGCACGTGCTGAGGACACGCTCACTTTCTGGGTTATATCCCATGGAGCCCTCACAGCAGCCATGAAAGGTAGGTGCCACGAACATCCCCATTTTACAGAACAAGAAATTGAGACCTG